GGCTGCTGCTGCTGCTGCTGCTGTTGGTGCTGTGGTTGTTGACCTTGCTGCTGTTGTTCCCGTGCTTTAATCAACTGTGTCTGAAGTTTCAATAAGTCAAAACTTTCCAATGAGTACCAAAAGTTATTACTTCTATGAAATTTGCAAGAAATATTTTAAAGTTTAAACATCTGGCATCGATGTTACAAGAGCACCAAATGGCTGATTCAGTTGAGGATTTAAATGAGCATACATATCTAAAACTATTTTACAAAATCCCAAAGAGCCACCATCTGGCATCGATGTTACAAGAGCACCAAATGGCTGATTCAGTTGAGGATTTAAATGAGCATACATATCTAAAACTATTTTACAAAATCCCAAAGAGCCACCTCTGGACAAGCAGTTGGCTGAAGTTACGTCACCATGCTTGCAATGAGTTGTTCATCCAACTAAGAATCAACAACTAGTTGAGATATTGTCAGGCTTTTTGGCATCACAGAAGATTTGGATGCCACCACAATTTATCATACCATCTAGGAGAGGAGTCTAATATTGTTTTCAAGAACAAGGTTTCGCTGCATGCAGAGAAGAAGCCTGACCCTTGACTCAGATACTCTGATAATAGTTTTGCAGGCCACAATAAGATATTCAGAATAAGTAAGTCATTGATTTGCCTCATCAATGCCTCTTGGACAATCACAACTTTCCTTCTCTCCAGCACTCGTGACACAAATAAACCTTAAGGGAAGAATGAGATACAGCAGAAAGTCCAGAAAACCAACCTCAATGTAAGACGCAGCAACCTCTGAGTGCTTCTCATTGGTCCTAGCAATGAATATATCCCAGAACACTGACCACCATTCAAAGAGAAAGCCTCCAGGTGCATCGATAGCTGGAAAACCACGGTAAAAAGTCAAAACCATGAAAGAAATTAAAAATAAATAAATTATAAACAACCGTAGCCAACATAAAGGCTTTCTCTTGCCCTTAATCATAAATCCAAAAACACTTACCTACAGGGTCAGATGACACTTTTCCTTCAGCTTGAAAAGCCTGGGCAGAAGCCTTCAAGTCCCTTTTTACCAAATAATCATGGATATACACATCCAACCTGTTATCCATCCAAAAAGTTACTCGATTCCATTTATATCAAGAAAAAAGGAAGAAGAAAAAGGCTTCACCAACCCTAACAGCTGCGAACGGATAATAAGTACAAACTATTCACCCAAAGCAGACATCATAGTGAATCGTGTGAAGAAAAGTATATAACATGGACAGAATCCAGACCATAGATACAAGATTCCCAAATGTTGTAGCCAGAAAAGGAAATAAACCCGCAACCCAGTGATTAAACCTCAAAACTATACAAAATCTTAGCTTATCCACACAAAAAGAAAAATATAGTTAAACACAAAAGGTATTTACACCTTAAATATAGCAGAAATTCAAATTCTAAAATAAAAAACATCAACAACCAACCAACAGTAAGGGAAACACAAACCCTAAAATTCTAGTTATGTACAAGTAACAGCATAAAAGAGCTTCAAAGAACAAAACTTTAGTCCAAAAACAAACATAAGAAACAAAACCCAGAATAACCCACATGCCAGAAACACCAATCAAGAACAGAAACATGAAAGAAAAGAGCATTAGAACAGAAAAATGTGAACTTTCAATAATAAATAGAGAAAATGAACTTACATTTTATCAGCTTCCCAGTTGGTTTGAGACATGTTTTTGAACCTTAAACGATTGTTTTACATACACACTGCTTTAGCTCTCTTTGCCTCTAAAAATAGCAACCCAGAAAATAAAAACAATAAATTTATTAGTACAAAAAAATTTCGCCTTCAATATATAAATCAAATCACTAATAGAACCCCAAAAAAAAAGAGTGATAAAGTTCCAAACTTTTTTTAACTTTTTTAGTGATAAAAAGAGCAATGAAGAATCTATCAGTGCAAGAGAAATAGAACCTCTAAATTTAGAAAGAAAATTAAAAAAAATGTTTTTTTTAAATTAATTGAATAAAACCAAACTCAAAAGAATTTAAAAAAAAAATATTTATGGGAAATCAAAGGAAAATTAAATATCGCGATACCTGAAAACCCAAAAATGAAAATTACTATATTTTGTTGAGAATAAAAAAATTATCTCTGTAGCTCTTGGTGGATTGCGAGTTGCTGTTGCAGATACATAAGGGCTTTGGTTGGCTCAATTTACTAATAAACCCTTAGGACCTTGTCTAATTTAGTCTGAGCCTCAAGTTTCGGGACACCTTTAGGGTTGAATGACTGAAATAACCTTGCACGTTAGTAAAGTTTCTGGTTATTTTGGAACATCATTGTGTGTTTGTCAAGGCAACGGAGGAGTTTTGTGTAAATTGATTGTGTTAGATAATTGTTACACTTTTCTATGTAGGCACTCAGGTTTTCTTTTTTTATGAACTAGCCAGACAACTTGGAAATTTTCGTATGCTACCCAAAACTTCTAGGCTGACTTCATCTTATCTTCATGTATAGATTACGGCTCACTCCTAGATTAAGATTAATTTTAAATTTAAAAAAAATAAAAAATATTATAATAACAAAAAAAACTATAAAAAAACTATTAATATTATTTTATTGCGTCAAACTTAGTTAAACCATTACATTACGTGATATTATTTTATTGCGTCAAACTTAGTTAATCGAGTCAATGATAATGATATTTTTTATAGAGTTAATTGTATTAAGTCAATGATATTTTTTATAGAGTTAATTGTATTTTTTCTATCAACTTTAATTGGTTCATACCATAAATTTTTGTTATTGAGTAACTATTAGACTAAAGCCTGACAACCCAAATATCTTATTTAAATATATTATTTAGAATTATTAAGAATAAAGATAATAATGAGTGCATTAACAAGTCACATATAAAAAAGAAGAAAACAAGAGAAGCATTAAAAGGGTTTTAAAAAAAACATAACTCAAAACCCCTAATTTAATCTTTATTTATTTATAAATTGGTTAGTCTTTTTTAAACTTGAAGTCTATTTAAAAGCTAGTCGAAATACTCATAATCAAACATCAAAATGAAAAGCAAGGTTTCAAAGTCATTAATAGTGATATCTAATCTTACAGGTCAAGGTTGTTATGGGGACATCTCGACCAATTAATTATGTAAAAGGAGCTAAAATAAAAAAATAAAAAAGTTATTATCTAATTTTATGATAACTAGAAACCATAATTGGTCTTTAGAGATTTCTAGATAAGAGATTAATTATGCTGAATGAAAGATGAAAATCATCTTAGAACAAGTTATGTAATGAAAGTTGCTTCGAGTTAATTCTTAATGATACAAATATATATTATACTTACATACTAAGAATTTATTTAAGTTAACAGGTATGTGTTTACCTATTAATAGTAAAATATTTATAACTTCCAAGATAATGACATAGGATCTAGACCTAACAAGAAGGCCTGGTCTTCACTTTTAGAATACGGGTATAAGATCTAAAAAATGATAAATGAGGTTTTGAGTCGTTTCTTTTCATTAGACAACTTCTATTTTTATTTTGAAAAAAAGTAAAGTTTATACTTCATGAGTATCTATTATTTTTAAGAATTTTACCATATTCATGACAATTCCCTAGCAAAAATAAAATTTAATATATTTTTATTTTTAAAAATCATAAAGTTTCAAATTCTTAGGAATATAACCCTTTCAAATATTATATCACTCATAAGTTGATTCTTTGATCAAAATAAAAATAAAAATTTTATTAACACATCTTTTTTTCTTAAAGAAAATGACATAATTCTATTTTTATTTTTTTCCAATGAAACTCAACTTCTTAATGACAAAGTCCTTTTAAGGATTATACCGTTCACAAGTTGATTACTTGATGAAAATAAAATTTCATTTACTTGTTCTTCTTTAAAAAATCACACTTTTGAGATGACAAAATTTAAATCTTGGGGATATAACATGTTGAAGGATCATATCATCTCTGAATCTATGAAAACCCATATAATTGCTATTAAAACACAACATAATCACACACACACACATATATACAATGACATATCATTTAAATAATTTAATGTAGCTAAATTACTATAGCAAATATAATTTAACCTAAAAATAATTATTCACATAAAAAATCACTCTAGACAAAAACAAAGACTAATAATTAAATAAACTTTCACAAATCAAAACCCAACACATGTCAAAAATAGTTTGAAAAAAACATATATCACACAATGGTGTTTAAAATTGACCTTTCACGAGTCGCGAGAGTCGGTTGGAACTAAATTGAAGTGGCTAAAATGGGAAGAGGCAATATTGGAGTGTGAACTACATACATAGAAAGATATACTGGATTGTGAATATTGTTTGCATATACTGGTAGGTTAGGAAAGCATGTGAACTAGCGGATCAATTGCTCCTTCTTCTTGCTTTTTACCCGAATAGTTTATATCATTATCGTTCACAAATGGGAGATTGGTGGCTATAAAGTTTTGGTTTGTTTTCTTCTCTTTTTGTTAGTGTTTTTTCATTGAATTTCCAAGTTGTTGATGTTATAAACTATTGTTATGGGTGGTCTGATCAGGGTTGTTGTTGTCGTGAGTGGTGTTTGATTGCTATATAGAGGTTGGGTAGAAGTGGTGGTGTGTTTATCTCGGTAATAACTTAGTTTGGTTTAACAGACAAACTATAGAAAAGAGATAAAGGGTTAATTACATTTTCTTCCTTCATCTTTTTTTTCTTGCACCTTGCTTTTGCTAGGTTTTTAGTTTGCTATGGTCATGGCATGAATATCTCTTAATCTTTTTGTGTGCAGGCTCTTTTGTGTCTCTTTATTTATGTATTTATATTATATGGGATCCAGTGTAAAAAAAAAAGCTATGTTATTAAATTTTATACTATTTTCCTTATTGATTATAAATTTCTAATGAAATAAATTTCATCTTATCATAATGAGGGAAAGCCTGAAATTTATGGTTGCATAGATTTTATCTATTTTATACATCTATACAAGCAGCATTTATAAGATTAACCACATTTATAATTGATCACCTTCTTAACCAAAACTTATGCTTTAAAATAAACCTTTCGATGAGCGAGAGCTTGAGATCATAGAGTAGGGAGAGGAAAGCAAGTGTGAAATCATCCGCCATTCTTCAATCAATTTATTGCTAAACCATCACCTAATCATTTATTATTCTTTTATCAATTTATTCTATCTCAAGCATGAATGTTCATTTTTAAAGACAAAGTGGTCTTTTCTCTTTTATTTATTAAGAATAAATGGAGGAGTTAGACAAAACACATGAAGGGCACGCTCTAAGCATTTCTTTTTTTAATCCAACCCTAAACAATGTCTTTTAACCTTAAGATTAGGGAGAGAAGTAAAAGCCAATGTCCAAAAAAGTGATAAAGGTGGGGATATATCATCTCTTTCTTTTGCTAAATAGAGTATGTATCAAGGATCAACTTCTATTCTTCTCATCAGAAACCTTCTAAGAAAAATGGACTTTTATGCTCGAGATCGAATACATATTAAAAATTGAAAGAGTATATATCAAGGATCAACATATATGTATTGTGTTTATAAATGATGAAAGAAAAATTAAGAGATGATAATATATTTATCCATAGGAGAGGAAAAAAGGAGAGAAAAATGGAGAGAATACTTTCTTTCATAACCCTGTCCGATTTGGAGAGAAGTTAGGAGAATATTTTTTATAAACTCGAGGAAGATTACACGTATAAGTTCTTAATTTTTAACGCTTTCCCTTGTGACAATAATAACATATATAAATTCAGCATGAAAACAAGACAGATGAACTCAATTACCATACAAATGGACATGTTTTTTTTAAAGAAAGGAAAAATAAATATATGTAATCTAGATGAAACTATAAGGACTTTTTTTAAATATATCAAAAACTAGTAGGCCTTAATGGAAAGCAAAAAATTTACTTTTAGAGGTGGTCTGGATTCTTCAAAATCTAGTGACATTAAAGAATGTATTATGATCAATAAACAGATAATAACACAACAACCTTCTATTCTCTATCCATTTTACATTTTGATAGATTCTTTGAATCAAATTTTTATAGTCTCAATAAAAATATGTCAAATGAACTTATCCTTTGAAGAATTAAAAGAGAAGTCTTGTTTGTCACCTTCTTCTACTTAGACAGATAAGAAATGAGTGCACATTTTATTTTTTCAACAAACATGCACTTCTAAATATAAGTTTTGATTGAAATAGGCACAAATAATATTCATTCGAGCGATGACATGAGTGCACATTTTATCATTTTACACTAATGTTTCTTTGATGGACGAATTATATTTGATATCTTTAATTGCCATGAGAGTTGAAGGTATACTTTCAACAAAACATAAAAAACATCTTTACATATATTATATGAACAAATTAATATTTGAAAATTTTAATTTATTGCTCCAGGTTCGTGCATCGCAATGTCAAAATCACGACGAAATTTTTAATCACCAATAAAAAATAAATAACAAAAAAGAAATAACTGGTGGAATTTTTTCAAGGTGACATCTTATAAAAGCATGTTTAAGAACACAACTAGTCACACTTTCCTAAAAAAAATTTAATTGTTTTTATTTAAAAATGAATTTTTGATGTTCTTGTATCGTTTTAACGAAATTTTTAATAACCAATAAAAAATAAATAACAAAAAAAGAAATAACTTGTGGAATTTTTTCAAAGTGACATCTTATAAAAGCATGTTTAGGAACACAACTAGTCACACTTTCCTAAAAAAAATTTAATTGTTTTTATTTAAAAATGAATTTTTGATGTTCTTGTATCGTTTTGATGTACTAATATCAAGAAAAAAATTTTAAAAAATAAAAAAATTATTTAGATGTATTCTCAAGCGAAAAACACTTTGAAATTGAATTGTTATCACAATCCCAAACACACTCTAAGTGGGTGTTTGATGTTGTGGTATAAAATTATTTTTAAAAGTATTTTTTAATTAAAAATATATCGAAATTACATGTTTTTAGATTTTATTTATTTTTACACCAATACATTAAAAAACAACTAAAAGGTAATAATTGATGCTTTTTTATATAAAAAACAATTTGAAAAGTATTTTGTAACGTAACCAAACACACTCTAAGTGGGTGTTTGATATTGTGGTATAAGATTATTTTTAAAAGTATTTTTCAAT